TTACTTTTCTGTTAATTCACTGGTCTCCTTGCAGATGGACATACCTTTATCCATTTTTGGCAGGCATTTCACTTTTTCTTAACATTTTGTTTTGCAGATCCAGAATCAGAAACTCTTTTTGACAAAATCAAGAATTTAAATTTAAATTTTGATAACATAGTGGTAATAATAACAGCCTTAAAAAGTTATTAGTTAGGTCAAAGTAGGAAATTAAGGAACGGTAAACTAGTAATGAGATCCAGCTTAACCCATATAATATAGCCCACACAGTTTTTTTTTCTCTCGCATTAGAGGCGATCCCGGAAGACCAAAGCCCCAAGGACTACCCTTAATTACAGTTACACATAGCAATCACACAATTGAGACAGACTTTCCAAGCCTAAGACAGACAAACCTTACAATACCTGCCCAGCCTCAATGGATCACTGTAGAAACACTGATTCTAGTTTCTGTGAAGGCAGTTAATCTCCTCCATACTGTCTACTCCTGACATATGAATGTTATGAGTTGCCAGCTCAGAAGAGTGCAATTTGATTAGTTAATTGTTCATTGTAATCTAGTTCTTTCTCTCCCTTCATCACTGCTATGCCAACCAAAGAAAAACAATATGAACAATATCCCAATCGAAACACTATGAACAATATCCCAATCGAAACACTATGAACAATATCCCAATCGAAACACTATGAACAATATCCCAATCCAAATAAATATGTCTTGAGGTTTCACTTATTGTTTATGACAGATAGAAAACTGCCAACTCCTTCTTACTCAAAGGTCAAAAGTATGGTCATGCCTAATGCCAATACAGAATTACTCAATGTATTGTCATGGGCCACTAGTCACAATTTCCTGAACAGAAGGTTGAAAGTGACATCTAGAAGTCTTAGTAGGGAGAAAAATCACTTTTAGGCACACATGCTGTTTCTTGAGTATTATATTCTCTTTTCCTATAGTTCGAAAGGGAAAAAAAATTAATTTTGGTTAATCTTTGGATTATGGTAACTTGGTGATTTTTTAGCGAAAATCTGGTGACCAACCCTGCTACAGCAACCTGCTAGTTTTTGTTTGGACGCCATTTTGTTTTCATAAAGTAAAGGCTTTTTTTTTTTTTTTAACTCACCATTTTTTTCCCAACAATCTGCTAGCCGAATTACGCTTATGCTAGAACTTTTGTGGAACTAAAGTGCTTAATCATGACGAAGATTAGGTACGAAATTGGGAGAAAGTGCAGAATCGCAAACTGCTTGCCACGTTTTTAAGAATTGCATATACATGGTATCCATGTACACATCGACCTATTTTCACTTAAAAAAAACATCACAGAATTGCACAAAAATGGCATTGTGCACACTCTTGACTTTATCCATGTACACTGCTAAATTCCTAGCTAGTAACCTTTATCGCCTTACCAATATGTCGCCAAACTACCTGTTACCATATTCCAAAGATTAGCCTTAATTTCTTATGGTTTGGGTGTCTGGATATTAGATACCTGGTTTTTGGAATTCATATTACACATGCAAAATATATAACAGAAAATTCTATGAATTGAGCATTCTACTAGCACACATCTTGAATTAAGATAGTCAATTGAATTTGTGCTAATAAATTAAAAGATTCTAAATTATATGCTCAAACAGCTATGAGAAAATTGTACACACAAATAGAAACAGTATTACATATAGGTAATCCCTTATTTCCAGCACTTTCACAAGTTTTAAAACATGAGAAAATTGTAGTACGGTAATCCTACATCCTGTTTCACTTTAACACTATTTTGCTCTAAGAGCATTCACTGCCATTGTCGAATACTTTAGACATAACAGCCAATACCTTACCATCATGATATATTAAAATAACTTACAGCATATAATTAACCATGTAACAAAGTTACATAACAAGAGAAATCATCAGCAGGATATTACTTAAAAAAAACGGGGTTTTTTATGCTTAGCTGAATGACTCGAGAAATATCAGGGAAAGTGCAGAATCCCCCAGCTTCGCACGTTTCTCAAGAATTGCACAAACTCAGTATCCAAGCACACTATGGCCTATTTTCACTGAAAAAAGCATCAGAGAATTGCACAAACTTTGGCATTGCACACTCCCTTGACTCTGCTCATGTACACATCAATATGCGCCATATAAGTGGGCATTTCTGCATCAATTTGAAAATATGTCAAAGAATTGCACAAACTTGGTATCTGTACACATCAACCTTTTTTTTTTTTTTTTTTTTTCCCCAATGGCAGATTGTGAACAGTTACATTGTAACACAGTCCATTAATCTATACAAGGCCAGATGTGGTGGTCTCTTTATTATGGAGGCATCTAATAGGTGAGCCACCATAGCCTCCTACGAAGGGACGGACAGTTACAACCATGCCTTCTCCGGGATTCGAACCCAGGCCCTTTGGTATTGCAGTCGTGCTTCCTAACCACTATACTGTCTGGACAGCAAACATCGACCTATTTTCACTTAAAAAAACATCAGAGAGTTGAACAAACTTGGCATTGTGCACTCCCTTGACTTTGTCCATGTACACATCGATATGTGACATATAAGTGGGTGATTCTGCACTTTACCCAAAATACTTTTTCTTAATGAAGATCCTTTAACTGAATTAGCACAAAATATAAGAGAGAACACAGCAAGTGCTTTTCTGTATGAAAAACAATGTATATCTCTCACCTAAAAGCAAGCAGTTAAAAATAAGATTTTTTTTTTTTTTTTTTTTTTTGCAAGAAATATAGTTGAAATGCTACTGAAGAAAATTCAGAGAATGAGGTTATTTCACCAAAATATAAACTCTTCTGTTATCGTAAAAATTCTCTCCTGTTATTGGGAATGATTCAGAAATGTATGTATGTGTGCATGTGTATAAATATGAATGTGCATGTGTATATATATGAATGTGCATACATGTGTGTGCATACATATGCAAACATGATTACATTACATCCATATAAACACTGCTACTTAATAGTGGTTGATAAACAATGATGAAGGATATTATTTAATATTTTTCATCAATTACCATTTTAATAAACTTATTTTAGTTCAATTTTTTTTTTTTTTTTTAACTTTTTGATTCACATAACAAGAATCTGCATGGCATAACACTACTTTGGTACCTAACAACTGTATTACATAACAACTACCTGTAAATTTAATTACATGCATTATTATTTTAATCACTTGGGAAAAGCTCAGTTAACTTTGAATACCTTCAAGATTATTAAAGCAATGATTAAAGCAATTATTAAATGAGAGGTTACTAAATGCATTCATTTATTACTAAGCATATACCCTCAAGATCACTATATACCACATTAAGTCTGTTGAATTCTCTCATCAAAGAATTACATTTAAACTTCTGAACAGCGCACACTCGGACACATTCCTTTACTTTCAAATTTTTTAATCAAATTTATTTTTCCGAAACTCTTTTTTGTTACTTTTAATACTATTAAATACTCTTAATTTACACAACAGAAGAATTATATAAATAAAAAGTATTTCTTTCTTTCATGTTCTCACACAAAAATTTGATATAGGATATGATTTGTAGTGCTTCAGCATGTATCATAGTCTGTTAGTTTGAAATAGGCACTTCAAAGCTTTTCCAATCACCCCTTTGCCATCATTAACATATATTACCAAACCTATACAAAAGTTATTTACTGCAGCTCATTTAAGACGGTAGTTCCAAGCCAACTTTAAATTATATTTTTTTCACAGAGTAAAACACACTACACAGAAATAAAGGAGAAAAAACAGTGTCTCTACTGTTTTTGTTACCATGGCTTTGAGGTAAGCCAGATAGGGATGGAATTACCCTGAAATCCTATTCGAAAGTAACAGACTTCAGTAACAACAAGTTACTTCAATTTCTTAATACTCCTTATTATTTTGCTATTTAATTCAATAAAGTAATAATTAGAAATATTTTTACTTAATTCAACAGAATCACTTTAAGTGACTGAAGCATGTCGATTTTTATTTTCTTGAATAAGTTGCTATACCTAAAATCATTATTTTGCAACTAATTATACTGAATATTTCTGGAGTTTTAATTTGATGCATAAAATTCTACTGTATCTGAATAACATAGCTGGTTTAATTATGATACTTTAATAATGCAAATAGTTTTAATATCAATAATTGATGAAAAATCTACACATGACGACATGTATTTTAATATATATTATTACAAGGCCACACGTACAAAAACAGGAAAAATTAAACATTTTTACATCTTTTATTAAATACGGAAGATGGAAATTTGAAGGATATATATGAAACAACACATGACGACATGTATTTTAATATATATTATTACAAGGCCACACGTACAAAAACAGGAAAAATTAAACATTTTTACATCTTTTATTAAATATGGAAGATGGAAATTTGAAGGATATATATGAAACATACTCGACTTTTCACAAATTACATAACTCGGAATACTTGATATATTTTGTTGTATCACTAAAATTTGTAGACTAATATAACACTAGTTTTACTAAAATCAAAAATATATGTTCTGAACAAAAATAATGTTATTGATTAACATATGGTAAAAATAAATGAAATTTAAAAATAATCATATCTATAACAAAAACTTTACGTACATGAAATAGATTTTACTAATACAACGTAAAATTTCTCAGAAACTTCCATACAGAATATTTTAAAGATATCATTTAAAGTAGTAGGATGCTAATAAATCATACTGAAGTAATATAAAAATACTGAATTAAGACTGAATAAATACGAAAAAACAAAGTAGTTATTTCGCTTGATATATTATGAATCAATAATATTTAATAAACTTTTTTAAATGATTGAAATATCTCAAAAAGTTATTTTCTTTGATAAATTTATTATGAAACAGTAATATTTAATAAACCATTTCAAAAGGCTGAAATATTTCATAAATATAGAGATCTGTAATGATCTACAGGCTATGAATATCATATTAAAAGTTACTGACCTTGAGGATTAACAACGGGAATTGCCCCGAAGGGATCTATACACAGCTTTCTCAACACATAAGGTTGACTTACTTTATTTTTATTGAAATATGCAGAAAATTTTAAATAAATATTTAAAAACTACAGAAATATTGGCAACATACATAAGAGGGCATACATCACTGACAGCACAAAATCAAATTTTATAAATTGCCACGAATACAAGTTTTAAGCGAAATGCTTTACTCACGTTAAGAATGAGAAACTAAATAACAAGAATTCCTACTGTCACTCTCACACGTACGCAACAAAAGTTGAAAATAATCAGACCGTTTCAAAATCTAAATAGGTCAGATAGAAACTCACTAAGATAACGGAGAGGAAGTTACAATACGTAAATAATAATAATAACAAACGTACGCTTCTAAAAAAATATGCATTCAATTTATACTAAACCATCCTACGCAAAATCAAGGTTAACACAGGTAATAAAATGCTGATATGCCAACATGGATAAATTGAAACAGCTGACAGCTACTGACGACCTCCACTAGCGAAAATTCATTTAATATCAAAAAATATTATAACGAACTGAAAGTTTTTTAATCACATATATACGTAAAATTCCCATGAATGTCAAACAGTCACACTTACTGTCGCTGACAGTCAGGTCTTTTTCACTTCAAAATTCATCTTTGTTTATTTAATTCCTCCGGAGTCCACACCAACAAACAAACCTGAACGTGAGTATTGACCTTCTGACATCGGTGCTTTCAGCGCCACAAACTACGAGATGAAACGAAACGAACATTCTCGCAAGTTAACTGTCATTCTTGAAAAGAAAATTTCATCTTTAAAACCGATCATTCGGAACAAGGACAAAATGATTTATTGGCATAGTATAAAAATTAATATTAAATTTAAAAAATAAAGCAATACTTAAAATGAATTTTTAATATCATATTTCATAATGCGAATTTTAACTGGTTATGAAGTCGATCCAGCTAACAGACTCTGAAATCAAAATTTGAAGAGAAAAAGATAGACTTACAGGATCCCATTTCCTTTTTACAAATCCTTGTGTTTACCTAAATTTCAAGTTCAAATTACAATGTTAAATACAAAGAACTAATTCTGTTTATAAATAGATACCTTAAAATGTTGACAAGTACAAGTAAAAGAAGCAAATGCTAACAAGTACACTGGTGTGCAAAACTTAAGCAAAAGGTGTTCTTTTTTGCATAACTTCATGAGAAATCATCTGAGAGTCATGAAATTCAGAATTAAGGGTATTTGAACAATGACGAAGGCATAATTGTTCTAAAAATGAATACAATGCATACAGTATAGAAACAAACAAAAACAGGCTTTACTGAACTCATAGTATCGTTACACGATTGTCTGTACAAGAGAAAGAACAACAATCAGGTGTTCCTTAATATGGGATATGCCCTCCCCTTACTGCAATGGTTGCTTTGAACGGTATCTCCATACTCAACACCAGATTGCCCAACAGATCTTGAGGTAAGAGTGCCAATTCCTCAATCAGCATCTGTTTCAGTTGCTGGATGTTCCCCGGAGGATGTAATCGCGTCACAAGCTTCTCCCCAAAGCATCCCACACATGTTCTACTGGGTTTAAATCCGGGAAACACGCTGGCCAATCCATTCGAGCGATATCTTCACTTTTCAGTAGCTTCTAAACAGGAAGCGTCCGGTGTGGCCGTGCATTGTCCTCCATAAAAACAAAGTCTGCTCCAATCGCACCTCGGAACAGAAGCACATGTGAAGGATCACCTCCTGACAATAGCGATCTCCGGTTACGGAACTTCTGTCGAAAACGTGGATCTCTGTCTGCCCGTTCAGCATAATGCCTCCCCAGACGAGATCTTCAGGACACCGTAATGTTACTCTTTCCGTAATGTTATTGAGATTAAATCGTGTCCCGACCTCTCTCCAAATCAATTTGTGTTGATAATCGCTTGTGGCACTAAAACGATTCTCATCCGTAAGGAGGATACGACTCATTGATGAGATGCCCAGTTTTTGCGCTTCCTGCGCCACTGTAAACGGTGATGCCGATGGCCAACTTTCAAATTGATGCAGCGTTCAGGACGACAGGTGCATAGGCCACCTTTGTGAAGGTGTTTAGACACAGTAAACCACTACAATTGTTGCCAGTTACTGTTCACAGTTGTTGAGCTGTGGCGCTCACTGACTGCGTTCGGGCTCTTTTCGACTGCAGGACTATATATCGGTATTTGCTGCAGTTGTTTTTCCTGTGACGGCCACCACCAACCTTTCTAACAGCTGTACCTATGGTTTAGAAGGCTTTCTAAACGCGCGAAACGCTACTTTTATTGATTCCGAACTCTTCGGCTATACTGATCATACTTCGCCCCTACTCCATATTTTCGATCATTCTTCCACGTGTGAAGTCATCCAGATCATTCTTCTAGCCAAATATTTCACGAAAGAACTCCTTGCAGCGAATGTCTTTAATTGCATCTCCATCTTTCCTTTTATGGTAATCTCGAGTTGAGCGCGGCGACCATACGCGTTTTGCGTACGCTCATGTAGCCTGTGACGTTTTTTTCTTGACATTTGCATACGCATGAGCTTTCTACTGAGTTGCGTGTTCATTGTACTGAACGCAAGAACCCATTTTCTACAATTTCATGGCTATCTGAATAAAATTTACATTGTTGCTTAAGTTTTGCTCACCAGTATAATTTGAAGCAAAATCTTATACTCTCGGCAATACTTAAGTTTAGAGCTACTAAAGAAAGGAGGAGATAGCTTTATAGGAGCCTTACTTCAGTTTAAAGAGGACACATGTAGCAGTTCATTCTGAAGCTATAAAAATAACTTTAATTCGCAATGCATACCTTTCTTTTTATTAAACGGTTTTTTCAGGTTGTTCATTTCACTAATATAGTGCATAGCATGAGTTAATAAATTCCCAAAACCTGTGATCAGACATGTTTAAGGAGAAAATATGTTTTTCGAAACACCTGTGTATTGTACAAAATAGAAAACCCAGTGCTTACAGAAGAAACCAAATTGTGGTTCCTGAAATGTCTGTTCAAAGTAAAAAAATCAGCTTCTACAGAATAAAAGAAACAAAAATTATCTAATCCTTAAAGATCCTGAAATGATCTAATGATCTAATCGGTATTTTACTTCCAGAAATAGCAGAATTCCAAGAAAACTAGAAATAAAATTTTGGGTTTAATTTCGATCAGAGATTGTAAATTCTTATTCGATTACGAAAATGCAGTGGTTCACATTTGTTTTTGAACACTTGTCTTTTTCAGCTTTTTTCTTTCAAATATCAGTTTAAAAGTTAGTGAAATAGCTTTATTTTTCTTTCACAGATACTAATGGTAATCACTGTTAAAGCCTGTTGATTTTGAAAAAAAAAATATGCAAAACTTTTTTTTTCGCAAATATAGTTATTTATTCAAAGTGTTCTGAAAATGCAGTATTCGGAAGCTTTGAATAAACCATTTATATTTATAAAAATATGAAAATAACGGAACATCCAGTATTTGGTTGGATACCTTCTAAATAAAATTACACTTTTCATGCACTTTAGCATGGATTTAACTAAAGTTTTTAACCTAAGAATGTTCTATTTGCTCAACTCCTCGACAACAATTACTTTTAGTAGAGCTGTCAAAAAATATCATGTTATCTTATTCTTTTTACCATCTCAAGCCATGTATGATTTATAAATTTTAAGTTAGGAGATTGTAGAGAAGTTTTGATGAGACCGTTTTATAATAGCCACAAGAGAAAGGTCTGAAAGTTTAGAATCGTTATTCTGATACAACTTGAATCTATATAGCATTTCAAGACTTCTTGGAGATGCTTTTAAGTTTTTATTAAGAATATTTATATCTATTTATAACGATTTATATTATTTTCTATAAAAGCTGAATTTCTCGTCCCAGGGGCTTCCAAATATTTCCAAACCATAATGTTTTCCCTCCCCTTGCTTAACAGTAGGCAACAGGTTATTTTAGATTCAACTCTTCGTTCTCACTGCACAGTAATTCTTCCATCGGACTCAGATATCTTAAATTTCGACTCGTCTGCAAATATAACATTGTTTCAATATGGTAAATTTTGTTTACCTTGGATTCTGCAAATGCCAGGTTTATTTTCTTTGCTTCCTAGTTGAAGAAGAATTGCCTTCCTCCTTATTGCTCCACGTATCAATGTATCCCAATCACGTTTCGAACAGTTTAAGGGTAACTTTTATTGCAAACTGTTTTTCAAATTCCACTGTAAGCTCTTCCAACATTAATTTGTGGGTCTTGTGTGATTGTTCGTAGGTTAAATCCCGATTCCATGGTGTTAACTTGAATGTGGTCCAGACTTCAATGGATTTTCAACAGTATCATAAAAGTTTCGTTGTTTTATGACACCAAACACAGTTGAACGCTCAAGGATACATTAGATATTTCAAATATTTTTACTATTTTTAAAATGCCGAATAATTATATTCCATACAGAACTTTTAATTAATTCGTAGTGTCTTTTCATGATTACTTCAGATATGGAACAGTTAATAAATTTTATTAAATTAGTAATGATTCCCAAACTCAGATGCTGATTCTTGTAATGTAGTTTTCTATTAAGTGAAAAGTTGCGCCAGAAAAAAACACATCTCATGCCGAAACATTTCAGCTAAACCTTCGAGTGTCAGAAATATTATGAGAGTTACTGATTAACACTTTTCGAATAAAATATTTTATTAGAAGGAATATTTTGATGATATTTATTTTTTAAGAAGCAAGGTTTAAAATAGAGAAAAAATAATATATTAGAAAACAATTTGAAGTTTATGTTTAAAAACTATAAAAGTGTCGCCAAAAAATGTGAGCAACTACCTTGATTAAAATAGTTTGGAACTGCATTCTTTCACGTCTGAAAAGAAAACAAGATAATTTGCAGATCTACAATGCAATAATCATGAAAATAATATCGCTTTAGCAAAAATTCTGCTAAAGCTAATTTAAAATGGAAGAAAAGAAGTATCTGATTTATTACTAAAACTAATTGATCATTGCTGCAAAAAGCTATATATTATCTTATTACATCGAGCATCTAAATATATATCTGTGATCAAAGTTTAACTATAGCAAGGTATTCCTGAAAGTGGGCGAAACAGAAAATCCAGAATACATGAAGATTATATCCCAATTAATTTTTTCTAATGTTACATAAAGCTA